GTGTGCATAATTAGGCTATTACACATACCTATCGAGGGATGCTATTTTATCGTTTCAGAAACACCCTGGTATTCACTGTCTGATTTCATCTTAGGGAAGGAGGCATGAGAACCTAGTTTTGAATTCTGAGACCACTCTCCATTATCAGACATGATCTGTTTTCCCCAACACTTTTTACAAAGAGCAGAAACTCAGCTAGGAGACTCTGCAGGGTGTCAGCTGTTTCATTTGGTTATAAAATGAGGTCTGTGACCATGGGTGAGTGTTCCATTTCATATGTGCACAAAGAAAACTTTATCACCAAGTGACATTTTACTGCCACCAAGGTCATTCTGCAAACACATGTCTTCTGTTACAAGAGGAACGGAACCGTAGGGAACACAGGGTTTACGACGCATCCACTCGGTGCGTTGTACTCAGCATGAGGCTGACCTGCTCTGGGCTCCATGTTACCTCTGCAACTACTTCCCACAGATTCAGGAGTGAGAGTTAGGTTAATGCAGCCAGAGTAATGCAAACTACCTATTTTAAAAATAAGACTATGGTGCCCTGGCTGGTTTGGCTCATCCGTTAGAGTATCTGCCCAAAGACCAAGGGTTGAGGGTTCAATTCCCATTCCCACTCAAGGGTACACATCTGGGTTGCAGGTTCAATTCCCCGCCCAGGCAGGGTCTTCCAGAAGGCAACCTGTCTATGTGTCTCTCTCACATCGATGTTTCTCCCCCGCCTTTTTTCCTTCCACTCTATCTAAAAATCAATGGAAAAACATCCTCGGGTAAGGATCAACAAAATAAATAAATAAATGACTATGGTGAGTCAGGTGCAAATTTGAACTTCAAACTGCCTTTTTTTTTAATCCTCACCTGAGGATTTTTTCATTCTTCTTCAGACAGGGTGGGAGGGAGAGAGAGAGAGAAACATCGATGTGAGAGAGACAGACACATTAATTGGTTGCCTCTCACACGATCCCAAGCAGGGCCGGGGACTAACCATAACCGAGGGACGTGCCCTTGACCGGAATCGAACCTGCAACTCTTTGGTCCAAGGCCTGACGCTCTAACCGCTGAGCCAAACAAGGCAGGGCCAGACTACCTTTTTATATGGCATGGACCTAAGCACACACGAAAGGGTTGGCACTGGGCACTGGGGGTAAGTGATCACTCGAGCACACGGAGAAGAGCACCTTCGCCGGGGAAGGTGCTGCCTATTCTTGGACGGCCTGGGGCCTCAGGTGAAAACAAGGAAATGAGGGAGATGTTAGGATGGAAACATGAGCTCTGACCCCTCCATACATAGCTCATGGGGAGCTGCTGATTTCAGTGTGATTTCAGTTTTAGCAATGCGGTATGGTATTTCCAAATGAAGCTAGTTAGAATAGGATTTATCAAGGCACAAAATAAAAAATAGATATGCTCTTACTGTTATCTGTAAAAACAAAACAAAACAAACCAACCAACCAACAAAAAAACAGCACACAAGCAGATCTAGGTATCTTACCAGGAAACAGTTACTTGAATTATGTATCACCCTTGAGAAAGCCCCCACAGGCAAAGTTGAAAAACCCAATACTAATGCCATTCTTCTTTACCAACATGTAAAACTTCATGAAAAACTTGGTTTTCTTTTTTAGATATGTTTTTATTGATTTTTTAGAGAGAGAGGAAGGTAGAGAGAGATAGGAACATCGTTGTGAGAGAGAAACATCGATCAGCTGCCTCCTGCACGCCCCCTACTGGGGATCGAGCCTGCAACCCGGGCATGTGCCCTGACCAGGAATGGAACTGGGACCTCTCAGTCCATGGGACAGTGCTCAATACACTAAGCCACATGGGCTGGGTGGAAATTTGCCTTTTTAAGTAAATGCAGACACTATCAACAACAAAAGAAATTGAAGGTTTCTGTTATCTTGGTCTTCACAGATCTGGGACATTTTGTATAGTTCTATCTTTGTCTGTCTTTAAAGAACTTTTATATCCAAACATTCCCCAATTCAGCTGACTTGGTAATTTGTATAAATCAAGCTCACTCAGCAATATCATCATAACACCTCCAAGAAAAGGTAGAGCTAATGCCTGACTCTTTTCTCACTATAACCTCCTCCGACTTCTCAAAACTCAAGTATTTGCACCGTATACTGTCCTTTCAGTTTTTCATACTAATCTTTTTTTTATTATTGTCACCAATCTTATCACTGAATTCATTACTCTAAGACTCTCCTTTGTTCTTTATTCTTATCTCTTCCTGACTTCCTGCACACTCATTAAGGTGATACAGATGGTTGGCAATAATTCTTTCTCCTCGTCCAAAAAAAAAAACAAAGTATGTGGTAATGTAAATGAAATGAAATCAAGTTACAAATGCTGAATAAAAAATTCAACAGAACGTGATAGCACTATCCTTTCTCCTACAGCGATCAACCCCCAGTGGCTGCTCCTTCCATGGGTCCTTCACCTTGAAAGGCAAGGTTCCAGAGATCAAGGGTCTTTGCCTGAGTTGTGTACACTGTGGGGAGCCAGCGTGTACCTGCTCCCTGTTTTATGAGATGAATTAGTATCCCCTGCTCATTTTTAAGTATTTTTCCAATGTTGGCTCAAACAGGTTTAAAATGACACTTGTCGCATTACTCCCTCCCCTGGGCTAATTGCAAGACTCCAAGGCCAAGTGCCTGCAGCCCGTGGGGAAGACGTTGAGAAGAGAGATCCACGCCAGCTGAAGGAGACCACAGCGTGCAGAACCTGACCGGCGACCGGGCTCATCTGAGCAGAGTAACACCTGCTGTCCCTGCACGGCGGTGCTCTGCACTGATGGAAAGGCTTGCTTTCGTAAGAGAAACTGTATCTTCTTTTCTTCAAATCAAGGCAGTAACTTGCCAGGCGCCTGTCTGACAAGTTACCACCATAGCCTTAGTTGAATTAAGGATAGCTTTTTAGCCCTGGCCGAGTTGCTAAATGGTTAGAGTGTCAGCCCTCAGCCCTCGGACCAGAGAGTCCCAATTCGGTTCCCGCCAAGGGCACGTTACCTCGGTTGCAGTTTGTACCCGGCCCCGGTTGGGGTCATGTGGGTGGCAGCCACTCTATGTGTCTCTCTCACAAGGATGCTTCTCTCTCCCTCTCTTCTGCCCACTCTATCCACTCTGGTTGGTGTGGCTCAGTTGGCTGAAGGTTGCCAGTTTGATTCCTGTGCAGGGCACATGCCCAGGTTGTGCGTTTGATCCCCGGTGTAGGGGGTGTGTAGGAGGCAGCCAGTCCATGTTTCACTCTAACATCAATGTTTCTCTCTCTAAAAGTCAATAAAAATATTTAAAAAGAATGGCTATTCTGCCCCGGCCAGGTGGCTCAGTTGGTTGAAGCGTCGACCCCTACACCAAAGCTTGTGGGTTCGATTTCTGTTCAGGGCACACATTCCTAGGTTGCAGGTTCGATCACCAATCAGGGTGCATATGGGAGGCAACTGATTGATGTTCTCTCTTACATGGATGTTTCTCTCACACTCTCTCCCCCTTTCTCTCTCTCTAAAAAAAAAAAAAAAAAGATACCAGTTTTGAAATATGACTTCTGATGTGGCTTCTCTTCCCCAGGAGCCTTTCTTCCAGTGAACTCTCATTTTAATAATGACAACGCAAAGAATCATAAAAAGAAAAAGAAGAACTTAAGAAGAACATTAGCAAAGGAGTGATTAAATAGGTTAGACTGAAGTATGGAATAAAATTTAGAATATCAGCCTCTGGTCCAGACTACGTTTGAAGAAATTGTGCTTGTTCCCTTCAGCTCTCATGAAAATCACTGTCCAACCAAACGCTTGCCATTAAATTGTATCTCCTGTTCACCTCTTTGCTCCTCTGATATTTACCAGCTTCTGGGACACACTTCTTCATTCCCTGGAGTCTTGAGCACAGAGCTCACTTTCTTCTGATCTTAGTATTTAACATCCTTCTATTGGCCCATGTCATCATGATTTCAACAAGCTCAAGTCCCTCCTAGTCTTCCAAATAAGAAGTATATTCCACATTCTCCTCCAATACATTTAACAGACGATGGCCAAAACAAACACTTTTTCAATGGAGATCCAACCACGTGATTCATGACTCAAACGCCGTCAGATTCTTCCCATTGCACCTCTGATAAAATCTCAGTCTTCACCTTTGTCATATTCGTTCGTACGTGCGCTCACGACCTTGCTGCCTATTTTCTGACAGCCCTGGACGTGTTCTCATTCCTGACAGGCACTCTGCCCATCTCTGCTCTGAGCAGGCTGTTGTCTCTGGGACGTGACCCTGTCACCCACATGCTCCTCCTTCAAGTACCAGTTTAAATATCACCTCGGCAGGAAGCCTCCCCTGATTCCCAGATGGACACACTGAATTCTCTGTTCTTTCTCCAAGACCTGCTCTGAAGGGTAAACTGCTATTCCCAGGTTTAGATCCCCATAATCTGCAGCTTTACCAAATTCATCACCATTCTGTGTAGCCACCTTTCTCTGTGATCCCAGCTCAGTGACCCCCAGCCGGCCGAGTGGTCGGATTAACCTGGACACTGCTTTCCAGAGACAGCACAGAGAAGGGTACCGCCAACTTAACCCAGCATTATTCTCAGGCCCTGGTTCACATCATTCCAAAGTCCTACACTGATTTCTGCGACTATGTCCACAACGACAAAGAACGAGAGAAACGGCATCTTTTTAAATCCTCCAGTCTCAATACCTCACAGAGGAGGCTTGTTCGAAGTCGCCTTGTTACTCTTTCCAGAAGAGAGTCAACTAGAGCTCCTGTGAATTCCAAAGATCGGTATGTCATAAGCCAGTCGTTCTGTCTGACTGCAAGTAATCTCCATGTCTGTGCAGGTGGAACGCGATTCCCACAGACAGGAGAGCCACGGAGAACTGTCCCAAACATCACCATTCAGAGATCGAGAAAAAGACAGCCACCCCTAACGAAGAGACAGCCCCGGCTTACCGAGGAACTCCAGCAACGCTTAAACAGGAAAGTCAATAAAGGCACTTACGTAGGTCACCAAAGGCGCCCTTTGTCACTTTGAAGGCCCGTACCACCACCACCGTGAACTTGTGGGAATACTGATGCTCCACCTGGAAAGAAAACGACAGTGAATTGAAAATAAACTTCCAGCCAGGGAATCCAAGTGAATTGGTCTCATTGTCTCCTAGAGACTAATTAGAAATATCCCAGTGGGAAGGAAGTCACATGCATACCAGAAACATCCTATGATCCCAGGACTGCGCCTTTCCTGACACTCTCCTCTCTCTCATCACAGAATTAGTGAGGAGAGTAGATCGCGCTGTCAAGTGTCACTACGGCTCGACTGTTAGGACGTCTCTGCTGTCAGGTTTACCAAGGGCTTGGGGGAAAATGTAAATCAGAACTGCAGTCTTTCTAGGAGCACAATCAGGCTTTGTGCTGGATGACTAAGCCCTGCCTTAGAAGAGCGAGGTCAGAGATGTTTGCATTATTAAAGTTTGTTTGTTTTCATCGTTACTGTTGAATGAAAGTCTTTTTTGGCAAGACACTCCCAGAGCAGTTCTCAAAATCCTCTGGACCCAAGGCAATAGCAGGTAACTACTTACATTAACTTTAATACATGTATTATAAACCATCTGCAGCAATGTTAAAAGTTTCTATTAGCCTAATGGCTTGCATGTACACCATAATGTTAACAGGTAGAAGACTTGATTAAACACCTAACTAGAAATTAGTTATCTAATAACTCAGTCAACAAAACAGAATGGGGAAGCAGGAACTCCCATAGTTCTCTGAGTAACTTAAATGATTATAATTCTTTATCTAAAGCTCAAGCGTTTTTGTTTCATCTTAGAAGAGGTTCACATGCATGAACTACTTTTACTGTTTTCAATTTTAAGAGACTTGCTTAACTGGTTAAAAAGGCCATGACTGACTAAAAGGAAGCTAAAATACTGATAATACTGAGAAGTGAATAATAACAGTCTGATAACAAACAGGCAGAAAAAGACTATAAAAAACAGAAAGTCATAAAGACCAGTATTAGTGGGATCAAAGTTTTACAGCATTCAACACTTTCTGAAGATATCACTCTATCGAGAGAGTAATTAACATCCAGATTCATAATGTAGCAACGAGACGAAGTGAAGTCATGAATAATGAGCATATTTGTTTGTAAAGGCGGAGAAGCATATACAATCTTCCAGGAGAAATACCTTCTGTATTTAGAAGACCTCTGAGTAGCCAAAATTTTGTGCTACGTAAATGAAAGTATCATCATGAAGAAACATGAATCCTTTTTCCTAAAGTGTGTGGCCTTATAACTACAGCTAAAAATCACATGCATGTACTCCTCCCACCAAAAAAATAGAGAGAATCCACTTTTATAGCTGGAGACTCCAGAAATGGACAGATGCAGAAGGCAAGAAATCATTAAGGACATAGCTGAACTCAACAGCACCATCAATCAACCAGATATCATTGCCATCTGTAGACTGTTTCATCCAGCAACGGCGGAATACACATCCTTCTTAAGCTCACATGGAACAATCATACAGCATGTAACTCTCAGACCACAGAGGCATTAAACTAGAAGCCGGGAACGGAATGATAGCTGGGAAATCACAAAGTACTCAGACATTAAATAATACACTTCTAAATAACACACGTCAAAAAATAAGTCTCAGGAGAAGTTTTAAAATATTTGGAAGTAAATAAAAATGAAACTTCAACTTATCAAAATTTGGGGGATTCAGTGAATGTAGTGCTTAGAGGGAAATTTACAGTATTAAATTATATATACATAAAGAAGATCTAAAATCAATAATCTAAGTGTCTACTTTAGGACACTAGGAAAAGGACAACTTAAGACCAAAGTAAGCAGAAGAAAAATAGTAAAAATTAGAGCTGAAATGAATAAAATTGACAACAGGAAATCAATAAAGAAAAATCAACGAAACCAAAAGTTGGTTCTTTGAAAAGATGAATGAAATTCATAAGCCTCTAGCCAAGTAAACACGAAAAAAAGATAGAGACCACAAGTTACAAATATAATTAAATGAGGGAAGTTCACTACAGTTCCTATGGACATTAAAAAAGGATAATAAAGGAATCTTGTGAACAACTCTAAGTCCACAATTCGATAACTTGGATTAAATGAAGCAACTTATTCAAAGATACAATCTTCCAAAAGTCACATAAGTAGCAGGACAATCAAAAGAGGCCTATATCTATAAAGAAATTAAATCAATATTTAACCTTCCAAAACAGAACGCACCAGGCCCAGATGGATTCACTGGTAAATTCTACAAACACTTAAGGAAGAAATAACACCAATACTCTATAATCTCTTCCAAAAGATAGAAGCAGAGGAAATAGTTCCTAATTCATTCTATAAAGCCAGCATTACCCTGATAATAAAATCAGACAGAGGCATTATAAGAAAAGGAAACTACAGACCAGTATCTCTCATAAACATAGATGTAAAAATTCTCAACAAATATTATGAAATAAAACCCAACACTATATAAAAGAAATGATAACCACAATCAATCAAGTAGGATTTATCGCAGGTTTGCAAGACTGGTTCTGCATTCAAAATCAATTAATGTAGTTCATCACATCAACCAGCTAAGGAAAAAAATCACATGATCATGTTAATTGAGGCATAAAAATTATTTAACAAAATTCAACACCTATTCATGATAAAAACTCCTAGCGGATTAGAAATAGATGGGAACTTTCTCAACTTGAAAAGGAATAGCTATAACAAGCCTGTAACTAATATAATAGTTAATGGTATAAAACTAAAAGCTTTGTCAGGAACAAGACAAAGATATCCCCTCTAACCATTCCTGTTTAGCATTGTACGAGATGTCTAAGCTAATACAATAAGATAAGAAATGGAAATAAAATAGATACAGACTGTGAAGAAATAAAGTTGTCATTCACAGATGACATAATTGTCTGTGTAGAGAATGAAATTGAATTTATTTTTTAAAACTTTTGGAGTTAATTAATAATTATAGCAAGGTTGTAGAATGTAAGGTTAATATGCAAAAGTAAATCTCTTTTCCATATACAAAAAAATGAACAAATGGAATTTGAAATTAAAAACAATATAATTTACATTAGCACACACCCTAAAAATGAAATATTTATGTATAAATCTTTAAAAAATGTAAAAGTTCTGTGAGGAAAATGACAAAATTCTAATGAATGAAGGCAATGAGGATCTAAATAAATAAAGAGGCATTCTATGTTCATGAATAAAAGACTGAATATTGTCAAGATATTAGTCCTTCCCAACTTGATCTATAGATTCAATGCCATCCCAATCAAAATCTCAGCAGGTTATTTTGTGGATATCAACAAACTGATTCTACAGTTAATACAGAAAGGCAAAAGATCCAGAATAGCCAACACAATATTAAGAAAAAGACCAAAGTCAGAGGACTAATGCTTCTTGACTTCAAGAATTATTATAAGGCTACTGTAATCAAAACAGTATGATATTGGTTAAATAATACACAAATAGATCAATGAAATGGAGTAGAGAGCCCAAAAATAGAATGACACAAATATGGTCAACTGATCTTTGACAAAGACGCAAAGTACCATACAATGGAGAAAACATAGTCTTTTTAACAAGTGATGCTGGAACAACTAGACATTCACATGCAAATGATAGAGAGATAGATAGATGATAGATAGATAGATAGATAGATAGATAGATAGATAGATAGATAGATAGATTCTAGACAAATTATACCTGGGCTTGGAAGAAAATAATTTGATATTCTTGAAACCCAATTTAGGGATTAGCTTTTTCCACTAAAGAGAATTCAGTAATAATTGTTATATGTCATAGCACACCATCTCAAATCACTTATGATCCTTTTCCATTTCCTAGGACTTCTAATTACACATGGGTTTTCAAATGCCAAAAAACTCCCTTGTAACATAAAAATTATTAATAATATTCTTATCTATCATTTAACATAATTTTTGAAACTGCTGCAAATATAATCATGTCAGATGTTTATAATAACATGTACAGAGAAAGATATTATTATAAGGATTCATTGAGTATAAACCATGTGTTAGACATACTAGTAGATGCAAATTCTTATTTAATTTTCCCACAAACCCTATAAAGCAGATGTTATTTTTTATATTTAAAGATGAGCTGTGCTGACTAAACTGAGATTCTGAGTGGTTAATTTCTCAGTATCTCATAAATAGTAAAAATTAAATTTGAATTAGAATCCAGTCTTGCTGTCCCCAAGGTTTTATTCTTTCTACATTCCTTTACTTGCACACAGAATAATAATACAAATACCAGTACTTTTAATAGTAAAAAAAAAAAAAAAGTAAGGTTGTTTCCATTTATTAAAGTGGTATAGAAAGTTACAATCTATTCTATTATATCTGTAGTTGATCTAAACTCCCTCTATTAATTGGGTTATTTCATCTAGCATTCAGCTCTACATTTTAATTTGCTTTTATTTCTCTCAGCTTCAATTCTGTCTTCTTAACTATAATGACTAAAATACTTGCCTACTGTTCACAAGAATTAAGGAGCAAACCAATCACTTTCTTAGTTTTTACAAGTTCATTTCAGAAACATTACACATTTTCAGATCACCAACAAATTATTTTCAAAACAATTCCCGGAGAATTGGTCTGATTTTGAAAGAAGTGTCAAAATTACACCAATCTCTAAGATCTGTAAAGATTAATAAGAGATTATCTATAGTATCTATAAAGTAAGTACAACTTCTTGGAGAAAAGTGCTCAGTTTCAATCAGTGATTATCCAAATAATTTTTTTTATAATCCTTGCTATGTTCCTGGGGCCAACATCACATGAAATATCAAACTAGTATGAACAGGGTTAGCTCCTGACTTGAATAGGAGACTTTTCATTACATCTCAGGGATGGTGCCAGAGAAAATGATATTATTGAATCTACAACACTGTTCCCGGGGAAACTAATGACTCACCAACTTTTGCTAGTTGGTAGTTGGCAAAAAGAGATGCCATATTTCAATTGAGATGTCAAATATAAGCTCAATACACTCACTTACTCACCAAGATTAAGCCTTGCCTTC